GGGCCCCGTGGAAGAGCTGTAAAAGCCACAGTGAGTCGGAGCCAGGCAACGTGGTATTTCACGAAGCTGCCTCTGAAGGCCGAGAAGGAAAGTGAGCCAGGAGGCAGCTGCCGCCGTCTAACAGGGAAGGTCTGGACTAGAGCCCGAGGGGTGGGAAAGAGGAAAGATCCGAACACATTGACAGGACCTGGAGACTCTGGATGCAGGAGGGCGAGGCCAAGAATGGCGCTGGGGCCAAGCCAATGACTCTGGCTTGGCCTTGGTCTGGGGTGAGCAGCCATCCAGCACCCCTCGAGGTAACTGCTGAGTACTGTGTTTAAAAAGCTGTGGAGCCCTCGCCCCTGGGCAGGAGATATTTTTACCTGTCTGTCTCCTAGTCAGTGGTTTTTTTCTCTTTTTAGGAAGATGCACAGTTTAGTGGCTCAGTCCTGCCACTGTCATGCGTGCTGTTCTGAGCTGTGAGCCGCACGGTTGCTAGGTGACAGATGTGGCATGTGGCTGCCTGGACCCCGAGCCCTCCACATTGTGCTTTAGGTCATGGAGGCGTTGCTTTCAGAGAACTGTGGGACCGCATCTCGTGTGCTGCTCACGAGCTTGCAACTTTACAAGCTCTCAGCTGGCGAGGGTGGCATGACAGGCCCAAGCACCTGCAGCGGCTAGAGCCTGGGGCGTGGCAGGCCTCGCTCCCACCAGCGTGCACAAGGGGCACTCCCAGGATATGTGCAGAGTTGACAGGGCCTCAGAGATCATCCCAACCAACCCATTTTACACACAGGGAGACTGAGACCCTGAGAGCTCAGGGCAGTGGTGCCAGTGTGCACAGCTGGTTGGTGGTGGGTTCAGCCCTGCACCTCACTGGCCTCCTGATACCTGGATCATGGCTGGCTCCCCAACCAGCAAAGGGAGGACCAGAGAGGAACCTGCCCCTCCTGGGTCCTTCTCTGATCTTGGTGCTTATCCCAGGCCATGCTTCATGGTCATTGGATAGGTGCACATTGGATTTGTATGTTCTGACCTGAAGGCTGACCTTCACCAGCACAGGGACTCAGGTAGGGGGTGGAGGGGAGGGAGGGTTGTTCCAAGTTGCTGCTGGTACCACCTCCCTTTTAAAAACACAGAGCACAGGAGTGAGGAGACCTGGGAGCTGACGGCTGCGGAGTGTGAGCAGTGCCGTCTTTCCTCTATTCCAGGTGCGAGGGATACAGCAGCGAACAAAATAAGCCAGATGTTTCTTCCTGTGGAATTTATAGATTTCTTGTAGAAGGGCCAGGTTCTAAAGAAAGAAACAGACATACAAGGGCCAGTGGTGATACTTGCTATAAAGAGAAGGAACATGGGGTGGGATGTGGGGGTTGCAACCTGGAGGGCTGCTATTTTAGGGTCCAGAAAGATATCCCTCAGGGCACATTTGACGGAGGAATGAATGAATGAATGAATGAATGAATGAATGGAGTGAAATGGGAGCCCTCAAACCCAGCCTGACTACAAAGCCCCACCATTGNTCTGACTACAAAGTCCCACCATTGTCTCCCTGTGCCCATCCCCAAGGAGTCTGGCCTGGTGGCTTTGAGCTGTTCACTCCCTCTCTCTGGGCCTCAGTTTCCTCATCTATAAAATGAGAATGGTGATAGGGTCCCCCAAACTTCTGTATTTTAAGTGTCAGACTCAGGCATTGTCACCTGAGCACATTCACTGGGCACGAAGGTTCTGGTCGTGATTGCAGCCCAGCCCCGCGGCTCACTCGCATTTACGCTGGCACTTTGCACCCTGCAGACCCGGCGGCCCGGGAGGCCCCTGGCGCCCTCCTGCAATGCAGGGTGCTCGTAGGCAGTGGTGTCCTGAGAAGAAGGAGAGGCTCAGCTCATCTTGAGCTGTTTCCTGTGGTTTCTGTGATGCTGCCGTGGTATCTTTCTCTGGCTTTACCACAATGTGCTAATTTCGCCCTTGAGTCCTAGTTTAAAATGGTCCCCATCCCCCCAGGCCTTTCTCATGTTGGTGACCAGAGCTGCCACTCACCAGGCTATTTATGGGGAAGCATGTCCTCCAATGGGTCAGCACTAAGATAAATTCTGCAGACTTGCGGAATCCCCCTTGCTTTTCTTCAGTTGTGGCAGGATGTGCAGTAAATCAAACCTAATGCGTTGCAGATCGTGCTGATCAGATCCTGCTGCAGGCGGCCCTGGAGACGGCTCGGAGCTGAGGCACCCTGCCGGCTGCGTCTCCAGCAGGACCCCGGCCCTCTTCCCAGCTCTAGTTTTAATAAAAATTCTCCATGTCAGCTGTAGGGGAGGTGGGGCAGCTAGACAAGCAGCCATTGCCTGTGCCTTAGGTTCACTCCAGTTAAGTGCCCTGGGGCTGGGGACCTGCTGCCAAGGAAGGGGGAGGGGCTCACCCTGGAAGCCCAGGCAAGAACTCAGGCCTCCCCACTGCACCGTGCTCTGGGCACCATTTGCTTGTGTAGGGTGGGCAGGGTAGCAACCCGGAGAGGTTGAGGACTGAAGGGTCCACAGACATACAGGCCCACCTTGGGACATCTCCAGGACACAATGGGATATTCAGCTGACCCACTGTGGAGTCCCAGCAGAGAGCTGCATTTCTTCTAGAGAATTCTTGGGTCTTCTAGGCAAGCTGGCTCTGTCCCAGTCTCTCCAAAGCCCAAGACCCTGACTGTTCCTGGGGTGGCAGGGGGCAGTCATTAAAGACTCACTGTCCCCCTTGGATGAAGAGGGCAGGGACGTGTCAGCCGCTGATGTGGTCCAAGGCCTGGTCTGGGAGGGTTGGCTAACCCTGCAGACCTGCATGGACAGTTGTCCCCATCTGCCAGGCCTCCTAGCTTCATTAGTGGGATCTGTCTGGCCAGGTCTACTCAAAGGTTGGTCTTTGCAGGAGTCAGTCAGAAAGTGTGGGTCAAGGCCAGCAGGGAGGGCAGCCGGGCATGCTCCTGGTGTGCAGTGACCTTGCCCGGCCGTTCAGGTGGCACATCCGAGGAGAACAGACGGGAGCCGGATCCAGAGGCAGCTCCTCTTTTAGTTAAGTAATTACAGAGCTGGGTAATTTACATCCCTGGCAAGATGCGGGGCAACTGCAGGCCAGGTGTACATGTGTTTAATTTTAAATTCTCCGACCTCCCTTAATGAGGAAGTGCTTTGAAATACAGCCGAATGCTGGGATCCTTCAAAGCACTCACTTCCTTGGTGCTTTATGTCTCTAAGGGGAAGCAGGAAAGACGGATGAGGAATGGCAGGGAGGGTGTTGCCTCCCCCGCCCCCTGTGCAGACATTATCTGCTGTAAAAAGGTTGCTGAAGGATGGAGAACCAGCTCTTGGCTGCTGTGGCCCTCAGATAATGTCACTGGTGAGCGATGACCCAGGATTTGTTGGCACTGAGCAAACACCTCCAGGGCTCTGGTGCCAGCATCCTTAGCTGAGCCTGGTCAGCACTTCCACCTGGGGAATGAAGGAGCCACAGGGGCTGGTGTCCAGGGTGCCACCGTGAGAACTCTAGCCCTTCTCGCCCCCCACCAGGTGTTACTATCCCTTTGAATCACCTGGGGATCCTAAAAAAATACGGAGAAAGGTTGAGTAGGTCTGGGGTGGGCCTGACATCCTGCATTTCTAACCAGCCCCTGGGATGCCCCTGGCCCATGACTATGTTTTGAATAGAAAGACCTTAGAGAAGGTAGCTGCTGGCTTCCCTGGGCCCCACCAGGTGGTTCAGGCTCAATAAAACAGAGAAAGCTTGGACTTGGCACAACCTGCTCAACCCTGGGGGGGGGGGGGC